CTGTCTGCATTGTGCGACAGCCCAATGAAGATCGTGCTGACGGGTGCATCCAGACCCGCACCCGGTAGAGGAATGCTCAACTTCGAAAAATTTTAGATCATCGCCGTCGCCACAATAGTGAAATCGCAGCTTACAAGGGTGTGCGGCCCATTATGCTCCCGGCTGCTCACGGGCCATATTGCCCCAGACCCAAGCCCCGTGAATTAAAACCCATCTTTGGCTTTCATTGCATTCTTCGTCACAATTGCATTCACGCAAAGGTAATCGTCGATCCACGTGTCACCTCCGGACGATGCGTTGGAAAGGAAACCAACCAGACCCGCCGTGGTTGTAAACGACTCAAAGAAGAAGGAATCCAGCTGTGCCCAACTCTTCAAGACGTAATTGATCATCTGTACCCCCTCCGTTAGTGGGACAAGTGAAATGGTGTTGCTTGCTTTAATAATCCCATCCTGTAAAATGTGCAACGCACCATTCGAGTACAGCAGGACGTGAAAAACGTTCAAAGTTATTATCCATGGCAACGGGTCCAAAAGAAAACGTGCGGTTGTTTTCCGTGACCCAAAGATGGAACACATTTTCCTTTTTCTCCCCCGAGAAGTACCTTTCCAATTGTACAGCATCACCTTCACTCCCTCAATGGTCGCGGTGATAGGGGCTTCCACAGGCAAATTGTCTTCCCGAAAGACTCCCAATCGTGAATTGGTCCAAACGCCTGAGAGTGTCCCAATAGCCTTCGTCCACGTTGCCCCCATGTCACGCAACTCAAACAAACTCTGGCCATCTTTACACTGAACGATCATAAAAATTTGTCTCCTATTTCATTCGGTGATGCTGGGGTTAAAGCATTTCGCAGGAGAAATGCCCTCTGGGAACACCCAGGTATTGCCTTTGTCCGTCGAATAAGTGATTCTGGAGAAAGATTGATTTTCCCCATTCCTCGCCCTCAGGGTAAACACAAGTGTGCCACCCTGCATCACAATGCCTGAACTGCCACCATCAAGATCAGACAGGTTGCTTTTAATCCTTTGGGGATCTGCCGTGAAAGCGACTTGGGTTCAGCCCAGTCGATCAACTTACTTTGCACGCCGTCATTGGAGTGCGTGGCATCACCCTCAACCAGTTGAATACCCCAGCCAACCGTATTCTAGCGACCATCATTTTTTTTACATATTGTGGCTTCCCACAAGTAGAAACACTTTATTGTCCTTTGCAATCGCTGTGGGGTTGCACGCAACACCAAAAAGATCCTCTTCACTCACTGTACTAAACAGTGTGCGTACCCTCCATTTATCCTTATTGTTATCGGCGGCAATTAACGGCCACGTCTCCGCGGCGTTGATGTACCCCGCCACAATATCAGAAGGAAACACATTCAATCTATAGTGAGAGCCTTTATACTCGGTGTGACCTTCAGCAAATGCAATCATCACTCCGCCAGCACGGACAAGGGAAGGCGCAGCGAATGAATCCCTCATTCCACTTTTGCCAGAACCACTTTTTTGTTCCACCTGCGTCTTCATCGGCACATAAATGTCAACCGGTTGTGGCATTCGCACGTCCCCTGACTGCTGCCCTTCTGCGTTAGCAGCCCAACCACATCCGCAGCACATCATCACAACGAGGAGTAGCAGCGCCGTGGAAGTAAAATACCGGGACATGTTGAGCCTCTACGGCTCACTCTCTCTTCCTTCCCTCCTCCCACCGCTGGATCCGGTCACGCCGCGACGGTTGTGTTTGTTGGGTGCCTTCACAGCAGCAACACGTGAGAGCATACAAATATGTGTGTGTGGACGGTGTGTGTGCTGTTGGTCCTTTCAGAGCCTTCGAATTTCACAGTAGCGATTCGCGCTTGTCTTCCTTCTTTCCTAGCGTGTGTCTGTGTTCAAGAAGTGGAGAGAAGAGGAAATATGTCGAGGAATAAAGTGAAAAAAATAAAGCAGGGCATTGCAAAACATTGAGCAGCGTAACATTCTACACTGAGCCATACAATCATCGTTACCACTGCAGCAGTTATTCCAGTCATTCACCATCACTCAAATGTAGGGTGTCTGCAGATACAGGAACAATTATAATGATGTACACGCATGGCGAAAGACGGTTTCCCACCAAAAAAAAAAAAAAAAAAAAAACATCATTTACCTGGCAATCAAAAGACAATGAGAAGAAGCAAAGCCTCAGGTGTTGAAAACAAATAAAAACAGCAACCTTCGACACCCCCTTATGAAAAAGGCTAATAAAAAGTATATAAACATGTACACACAAGCTGCTGGAGTTCTTATAGTTAACCTTCCCTAGTCTTCGCAATAATTATTTCTTCTTTAAAATGCTTTTCCTCATTTGTTTCCCTAATTTGCAAACGGAGAAATTCATTTTCTCAAGATGTTCCATCTATTCCTCCAAAGTAAATAAAGCCCATGAGAACCACAAGAACGTTGTCAAGAATATTTTATTTTGTGAGTACGTACAGGCGCAGGATTCAAAAGCTGCGTCATTTACCCACTTCATGAAACACTGTATAGTCCAAAATGACATCACCTTTCAACAAAACAAAACCTCCCCGCCCAGCGCCTAACCCCTCTTTTTTTTAGTTATTTAATCGTTTCTTCGCTTCGGATGAAAATGCGGTACTTTTGCCAGTTTACGCCATGCATGGCCCTTATTTGAAAGAGGACTTTATCTCTTGGGCCAACAGCGGCAGAACAAGACTGGGGTCAGAAAGGCTATGCCTTGTTCCATTAAACCCAGTTGCGGGAAACACCTCTTCAGCTGAGAGAACCCGTGCAGCATCATCCTTGTCGCCGTTCAAAACCTCAACCAGAGTCCAAGAGGCCTTCTCAGCTTTAGGTGTCCCCCTACATCCCATTTCTGTAAACTCCATCAGAATAGAATAAAAAGAAAACGCAACAGTGTCGCTTGTATTGCTAGATAAACATGGTGAAACCATCGTTCGGGACTTTTTATCATTCGAATTGTTGGCTGCTACAAACGAAGGAAGAAACCTCTCCAGATACAAGCGATATTCATGATTTTTAAGCAAACCCTGGGGCAATAGAACAAAGTCACAATAAACGACCAACGACATTAGAATTGGAGAGACCACGGAAAGCAAAAAATGTCCCTTTGCCCAAGAAATGAGGAGTTTCAAGGCCTTAAAAGCAATATGAAACGCACTGCCATCAGGAAGACAATCTATTTTGCGCATGTATTCAATAATAACTGTTACCACACGATCAAAAACCATCGTGATAATTTCCCCAAGAATTATTCTGTAGAGTGGAGGAGCGTTACGAATATCGACTAATTCCTTCTGTTCCGTCTGAGAAAGTAAGGTTGACAAGAGTAAATGGAGATGTGAGCAAAGTATGGCCGTTGCTGCAACCAATCCCTCTTCCATTGAAATGCAACCTCTTCCTGAAAATGGAAAGAGAGTCACAAAATTGTCGCACAAACCTTGAATTTGGTGAATACAAAGCAAAGCGAGTGTGCTGGCACAGTAATCCAAACCAGCAAACCAAAACATGTCTGTTGCGACAGGAACACTCGAATCTCTCGCAAGATCCTGTATGATGGCTTCTCCTCGTGTTGTAAACGTATCGACATCCAAATCCCTGAGATCTGCAATTCTTATAGACACCCCTTCAACATCACATGGATTAAATTGATGTCTTGTGTACAAGATGGATCCGTAAATAACGTGTGTTAAAAGTTTAAGCCAGTTGCCAATGTGTCGCGTCTCTCGACACACTTCAACAACAACATGAGCCAGAAAACCAACAACAAAGCGACTTAGGGTTTCTCCATCCTGATTTAAATAAAAATCAAGAGCTAATTGAGCTCCATTCGAAGCATCTCTCGCTGTTTGAGACTCCCTACCAATGTCTCCACACCACCTTACAGCATCACAAATCTGCCTAATGACCCCACGAACGGGGTCTTCAAAAGCAATATTCCTCTTCCAAGACGGCTTAAGAGTGGATAAATCCTTACTCTTCAAAATAGCCGCATCTGAGCCCAGTGTAAAAGCAACATTCTTAAAGTTTTCCTTGCTGATTGTATTTGACACGTCCCCCGTCTTTCGATGCATGGGTGCAACTAACGGGTGTAAAGATGTATCAGGGGCTGAAGCAAACTTGTCAAAATTTCTTTTATTGACTCCTTTATCCGCCTGAGTTTCTTTCGTCTCAGAATGGATATCCTCGCTCTTTTGCTCGCTTGCAGTCTCTGTCAAACTATCAATGACACTTAGGTAACCGTCAACCACAAATGAAGTGGTTGAATGATTAATATGTTCCTCAGACGAATCGTGGGGACCAAACAAAGACGCGGTGCTCGGCTCGCGCATGTAAGAGCTAGAGGATGCATTGGAAGCAGTTTGAACATCTTGTTGCCGGATATAAAGACTTTCTTTTACACCCCTCAGTCTTAAATGAACCTCTGTTAACCCGTCCCGTTCACGGATAATCACCCTTCTCTCCGGAAAAGTTTCCTCAACAATGTTCTTGCTCAGGTCGTAGGACAAACTTGTCACAACATGGGAGCGCAACTCTTCAATGCGAACCTTGAGTGGCTTCTTCTTGTACTTCCAATCGTTCTGTCGTTGCAGCGTTGACGTAAAGATGCGAGACAAGTTCACGTGAAGCTTTCCTCCATCGTCTGCAATGAGCGGAGGCGACGACGCGTGAATCTTGTCTCCTCGTTTAACGTGAAGTAAATAAGTCTTTCCCGCCACACATCCGGCTATCATATCGATCGATAAAAAAAAAACTATGCGCACATCTCGCGTAACTTTACTCTGCATGGTAAAGAAAAACTAACAAATAAAAAATTATATATAGAAAGAGATGGGAAAAAAGAGAGTTGTTACCAATATATAGAAGAGACGACCAAAAAAAAATAATTAAAAAAAAAAAAAAGAGAGAGAGAGAGAAATAAAATAAAATAAAATAAAACTTGTTGTTCTTGTTGTGTTTTGCTTGTTTGTGTTTCTTCGTGCTTGCTCACCACTTCGGAGTCGTCCCCCCTGTCTTAGTGTACTCTTCGGACCTCTGACGCCCAAGTTCCTGCCTGAGCGATGCGGTCTCTTCCGCACTTCGAAGCACTCCCATCTCCTCCATTTCGGCTCGTCCCTTCCTAGCAGTGCTCCAACGCTGCAGGATGGCATCATCTATTGATCCACCACTAAGTACCTTTTTATGAAGCTCGGTTGGCTCACCATCACCACCTTCCTCACTTTTTTTCAAGCCACTTTTCGGGTCAACATCTTCAAATGCCACCTTACTAGGCTTGTGCGCAAGTGAAAAAAGAACTCTTGAGAACTCCGAAACAGCGTTCTCGCACCTAGACATCTGCTGAACCGTGGGTAATCCATCTAAGGAAGTCCTTCGTGCTACCTCCTTATATCCCAAAGCCTCAAAACGTTCGATATCCTTCGAGGCAGGGCAAACAGATGAAACCCGATGGCAGTAACGTTCGCAAAGTTCACAGTCCTCTTGTCGACGTTGTTTGGCAACCGCCGCAAACTGATTTTCCCATCCTTTTGGTGCGCGGCTTTGATTGTCCAGAACTCTCGCGGTCCTTTCCAAACAAAAGCTCGAACAATCCGCGCACAGCGCAACTAACGACGAGAGCGTCAGCTGACTTGTATCGTACTTGTCTCTACGTGTCTGAAGGGTCATAAGAGCAAAACTTGAAAGGGGGAAAAAAAAAAGGCCAACCCAATGGCGTACCCTTTTTTGCCATGCGTTTGAGTGCAGCAGTTACTGTTCCTACTTTTATTTACTCTCTCGCATTTTATTCACAGGACTCTAGCGCCTCTTCATGGACAGCACAGAAACAAAATCAAAAATAAAATAAAATAAGCATTTGTCTTTAGTCAAAAAGACCAAATCCCATGTCATCGTCCTCCTCCTCTTCCGCAGCTGCAGCAGGCGCGGCGGCACCACCAGAGGCGGCGGCAGCGGCAGTGGGTGCAGAAGCGGTGGCAGCATTGGGACGTGCAACCCCTCCTACAAGCTTCGATTTGCCTTCAGCGCATACCGTATCAAAGTCCTTGCCTGCAAACTCGGCAAAAAGTGCATCCACGCGAGAAGGATCAACAGGAACGCCGGCAGCCTTCAATACGGCCTCAACGGCAGACTTCAAGGGGTCCCCCCAGATAAGCCAACAAGAGCGTAAGCGGCAAGGTACTTCATCTGACAAGACAACTTATAAGGCAAAAAAAAAAAGAAAAGACAGCATAAAAGAAGTTGGAAAAGAAAAAAGGTAAAAACAATTTCATACAACAATAATAAATAAGTGAATAAAACAACACAGAGAAAGTATTATAATAAGAATCATCAATAATTTCGCTTTCGTACGTTAAAATGTTTCTTAGTGAATCCGCTGCATATTTTGAAGAAACTCGTTAACCGCCTCTCGTGTTAGGGGCAAGGTAGGCAATCCGCTTTCAGAGAATAGGGCATTTAAGTCACCTATGGTCTTGCACTCATCCAAGTAAGCATCACTCCTTTCAGCAAAACTATTGTCTAAATCGTTGTGCTCAAAAAATTCTCCTAGAGTGGAATTCATTGAAAAATAGCAGCTTTTAATGCGACTTTCGGCCTCGCGTAGTATTCGCTGTTGAATAGTTTGTGAAAAAGTTAAAAAGGACTCAATCAAATCTCCACTACAAACACACCTGGACAGATAGCGTTTTCGACGCTTGTCAAAAACCCCTGATGACACGACGTTCACATTCTCAAACGAGGCATTGCGACTATAGCCTCGTTCCTGCCCTGCACGAAGAACCTCTCGATACGTGACATGCTCGAACCCTCCCAAAGCTGGAACTACTGATGAGACAGCAACCTCCAGAGCCTTTAAGAAAAGATATGTTTCATTGGAAACAGGGGTTATCGTACCAAAAGCCCCATGGAAGGTTCCAAAAACGACTTGGGGGCCGCAAATCCCAGGAATAAGTGTAGTTGGAATAGGAACAGCAATATTTGTAACAGAACATGGGGCAAAACTGCCTAGTTGCATTGCTGTCACCATGTCTCCCAAATGATACTGTGCACTTGTTTCGAGTTTACCGCTTGACACCGTAGCCGATGTTGCGTTTGAGACACTCGGCAAAGTCGATGCACCACGAGAGAGACAAAAAAAATTGTAGTAATCATCCCCAAAACAAATATTGTAGATGTTGCCCAATTGAAACACAGCACCATCCATAACTCCCCGCGGCTCGGAGTCACGGGCAACTATCTCGAGACTGCCCTGAATAGTATCCACCTGAATAAAAAAGCAACTATGGCGGGCGTCAAAGGCCACCATGTAAGATGCATCCCCTTGAAATATAGGCAACACACGTGTTACAATGGTACCGATACAAATCGTTTCCTCGGCCACAAAAACAGAATCCGCAGCATTCCAACTATACAACGCTATACAACCATTTATTCCAAGGGCTATTCGACCAACATAGTTTGGAACAATACAACAACATTGAAGTGCCCCTTCAACATCTTTGCTACCAATTTGGCGTAGTTGTGGTCGTTCTGATATTAATTTTCCTTGTTCGACACAATACCATATGAATCGACTTGACCGTGGCAACTGTTCATCCGGAAACGCAAAGGTGGTACCCAAAAGTATCGCCTTGTCTTTATCCGCCTCATTACCGTTGGGGGATTCGTTAGACCCTCCAAGAACAACAGTCTCAAAAAAACACATCGTTCGTTTTCCAAGAGTTCAATTGAGAAGAGTTCATTTTGTGGAACCCACGAATTCGCCAACTCATGCCCCATCAATAAAAGGACCTGATCCTTTTCATTTCGACGAACAGAGATCACAAAGACGTTCCACCACGCGATGTATTTCACTCGAGTCACAGTGGCTTTCAGGCCCAAAAAACATGAGTTTAACTTCTTAAGATCCACAATATTTCCAAACGCAAGAGAATTTTCACTCTGAGAAAGAAATATATATTTAGATGAAATGTGAGAACCTTCAATTATAGCGCACGCCGCAACATCATTGAAATCAATTCCAGTAAGTTGAAAGCCCGTATCGCAAAGAATGATGATGAGAGGTACTTCTCCAAGGCAAAGAACTGCATTATGGCTTTCCAAATTAAACAATTGCACAGGCTGCATCCTAATAAGTGTTTACCGAGCAGCACTTCCCATCAACATTGCTTCCAAAGAAATATCCGCAATATACCCATTCAGTAACCCAACAACAAGTCGTGGTGTATGAAGGTGTGACAAAATACACATGGAGCACGAGGTTGCCGAACAAAAAATGCGACCCTTCAAAAAAATCTCTCCATCCTGAATTTCATACAAACAAACGGCACCGGAGCTCCATTCTCCAATTACAAAACCCTGCGAAGATGAAATTACCAAACATGAAACTTCGTTTTCCAGCTCAAGTGACGCCCTTGTATGGTGGGTATTGAGATCCACAACGGATACCAATCTTGAGCTTGAGAATACAAGTAATCTCAAATTGGCATTCGCACTTGCATGCTGAATGCCAAATTCATTTTTACAGATAATATATACTCCTTTACCACCCTTCACAACGTTTACTCCAACTGAAGTCACCTGTACAAATGTGTTTCGCTCAGAAACATACACAAGTGACAATGTCACTTTCGATTTGTCAAAAGGAGACTCGGAAAGCTCCTTAATAGTAGTCATGTTTGGCGTATTTTGGAACTGATATACTCTACTACATGCAATCTGTAAAAATCTTTCAGCACCTTATATTCCTGTAGCAGTAAAATTTTGCCGAGAAGCTGCGTATCTTTTACATAAGCATCGAGATCAAAAAGGAACATCTCCATCGGCAAATTGCATCCAACAACAACTGCACTGGGATTAATGTACCTCCGAATAAAATCATTCAGCCTCATGTTGGTGATGCGTTCCTTTCCCTCCAGCAGTACATCTTCCACCCGACTGTCAAGGGTCCACTTCGGTTGCTGCCTTTTCTCCACTCCTCTGCGAGTCGCATCGAGTTGATCGGTCTCAGTATGGAATTCCGACCTCGCTCTCTTCTGACGATCTCCTTGCGGCACAGTGGGCGCTCGACTCTCCACATTGCCGCCTTGTACACTCTCCGGCCTTCCAGAAATTGTTTCTCTTTGCCTTCCTGGTTGGATTGAGTTAAATCTAAACCAATGGTCACCAAACAGAAAAGGGGAATGAGAAAAAAAAAGACAATAGGCACAGTCATGAATCGAGGCCACAACAAGAGACTCATCCACACAGTGTGACGGCACAGTATTCGGTGCACACCACATGCACGAGGAACACCGCAACGACGGCGAGTGGGTGCCATCCACCCAGCACAGTGTTGATGAGAGCAAACAACAACAACGTGGTGCGCACGGAGGGTTCGCTCACGCATACCGCTCGCCACGGTCCGGCACCCGTGTGGCACCGCCGTCACCGCACACACTCTGCAGGAGGACGTGGGCACATAAACCCTGACACAAGCACACAAAATAAAAAGTAAGTTCGGTGCAGCAACGGCCACACGCAGGGAGCACAAATCATACACACCACAACAGCGATGCATCACGGTAATTCCCCACACAACATAAAAAAGTGCAATTTGCATGCTTTATGGAAAATATTTGCGGTGTGCATGGCAAAAGAGAGTCGTCACGCTGCCTTTCTTATTGCATTCGCCATTCACGTATCAATTGGAAGCACGCAGCCACCACTCCTCCGTTCCGCTCCCCGTGCTGCTCGTGTCGCTCCACTGGAGGAAGTTGTCACCGCACATCCCCCTCACCGTGCATTGCGGAATACAAATCAACCACACCGCATGGGTGCGGCGCCACCCCGCCAATAAGTCCCAGGAAGCTCCCCGCTGCCTCGTGTGGCACGGACGGCAGTCTCATTATGCCTGTGAAAGGCTTTTTTTCCAAACAAGAACGCGACCCCACCACACGCCCGTAAGAACGTTTGGTCCGTCGCACGCAAAGGAGTGGAGCAGGAGAACAGCAGGAAAGGCAACACCGGCAGCCATGAGCAGCCCGCACACGCCAACACACCGCTGCCCCGCATATCACCAAAAACAAAAATACCAAAGAAACTTGTCACATCCCAAATACAAATCGCAGGTGCGGTTGCAGCACACACTCCCACCTCCTGGGCGTGTGTAGCCCCTCGCTGCTCGGCGCTCTAAGTGAAATCACCAAAAGCGCCAATTCGGGAGCATTCGACCACCGCCACAGTAGTCACACTCCCCATTTCTCACAAAGGCGAAGGCTTGCAGCGGCGCAGCGGACGGCGGCATGCACAGTCGCAGGGTAATGGACTGCCGCGGGAATCACGCAACGGCGATGCGCCCCTCCTTTGGGAAGCCCAACAAAAAACATGTGTTGCGCAGTCCCCGTGAGCAACACACATTGAACCGTATTCAGCTCCACTACTGTGGCCATCCGCACACACAGCATGAGTGCGACAACGCAGGCCAGGAAGCACGGAATAACAGCACGCATCCCTCCCATAAAGGCTTTGCGGCGTCCGTGTTCCCCTCAACAATAATTCCACCTCACATCACCCCTCTGCATATCCGCGGCAAAAAGGCCCACACGATGTACACTACATTAGAATTTCCAAAAGCGCAAAACCGGATCATCAGAGTGCTGCCGTCTTCTCAATGTTAAGTAGAAGCTCTC